CCCCAAAACCCCAAAACCCCAAAACCCCAAAACCCCAAAACCCCTAGCCTGCTTTCCCAAATAGAAAATAAATAAATATTAATTTCCCATGAGTGAAATGAAAGATCGGAAAAAATCTCCTAAGCCAACGATCCCGACTAAGGGATTTTGTAAGTAAAATATAAATAGACTTAGTCTTAATAGGCATACTAGCTGTTAAGATCCTTGCTTAAGCCACTAAGCTCGCCTAACTTTCTATATAGTAAGTAATTACAGCAGGAGGTTCAAACCTTGTACTACTGATAAAATAAGTACGATCATTGTTCTAACATCCAGAGTACATGAACACAACTAGGAATTCATTCAAACCTAAAGTTAATTTCCAAGTAAGCCAAAGGAATTAGGTGTAGGTTCATCGTAATGGATCTCAAGACAAAGGAGTAATGTCTTCAGGAGACTCTACACTCTTCTCAAGAATCAAAAGTACAGAGAACTATAAAATAATTAAGAAGGTGTCTACCAGCCAGGATGATATTGACAAATCAAATCTCAAAAGTACCTTAAACCAGATCATTCATAGACTACAAATCTGTAATAAACCTAAGTATTGCAGACTCCAATATTAAATTTCAAAGAATCACTAAAGTGTCAATAGATAAAGATGGGAAAGATGTATCTGTGAACTCAGTTAAAGAGAGTATAGTCTCTTCAAACCCCAAGCTCTGACCTATCCCTGCTACGAAATCATCCAAGATAAATACTACCAAAAAGGTCCCTCTAGGATACGTTAAGCTAGATAGAGGTAATTAATCGTTATGAAACGGAATAGATTCAGGCACAACTTCACCTTACGGTATGAGAGCCAGCACAGCAAGAGGTACTAAATTGTTAAATGGTTTTAGAGAAATAAAGTGAATAAAACCAAACCTACTCCCATAAAATTCAACTTAGAAACTCCTAGAGATAGAGAAGACAATACTATTAATGATGAAAGAAACTCTTCAATAAAGAAACCTAGAGTAATAATATCAGTAGTTAATCTTAATAGAGGCTCAATGAAAAATCTCCAAGAGTTAGACTCAGACCAGGCTCTCCAAGATCGAGTGACCCACCTGTATCCCATACTGTAGATAAAAGGCGGATAAACTGACCTAAACCTATATAATCAGCAGTAAAATTGATTCTAAAGACAGAATTAAGATGAAGAAGTTTGAGCTTGTCAAGATTCTTGAAAGCACTGAGGAAGAACTCTTCAAAACTAAACAGCAGTTACACAACAAAATAGATCAATTGGATAAGAGTTATGAGAGAATTGAGATACTCAATCAAACACTAACCCAAATCTTCCCCATTTCTAAATTTTTCTCAGATGTCCTCGACATCTGGAATAATCAATACAATGCAAAGAAGGACTATGAAGGCAGTCCTAATAGACAAGGGGTCTCATTAGCAAACAAACTTGACAAGTTTGAAGAGGTTATGAAATCAACACAAGAAGTAGTCGATCTCGGACTTCTTAAAACTGATGATCTGGAACAACTCATCAAAGAAAATACTAATCTCCAGAGACACACTATAACTCATAGAGATTCTTCTGGAAAGAAAGGGAATGAAGACATTTGCAAAGATGTTGATGAGCATTATATCGGATCCTCTTCTGCTTTATTACAAGCTGAGAATATTCTTAACTCGATCGATCATGCAAAACCAATTTCAATAGAGGTAGAAAAGCAAGGTAAAATCAAGAAAGAAAAATTAGAATCAAGGAAAAATTCACCTCAAAATAGCTTCCAAACATTAGACGATCCCTATTCTAAAGTTGGGAAAATGACTAAAAATATCAAAAGGAAGAAATCATACTCCTACCTCGATAATCTCGGAACTCCTTCGAGAAGATCAGAATCAAGTTTCAAAGATTCAGCATCCTTAAGCAATATCCCTCTCCATCTCTCAACAACAATAAAACAAGATTTCACCCAACTAGAGTCAATAGCTGAGAAAGACTTCGAAGAAAAGGAAGAATTTAAGACTAAATGGGTTCGATATGTCAATCTAGTAAAAGAAGCTCTTAGAGATAGAAGGTAAGACCCCATATTTCACCATATAGATATAAAGAGTTATCCCTTAAGGCAATCAAGAAGTCCTTCCCCAAGCCAATAGATTTCCTGAAAATTAAGATTTACGAGGCAGATCTGTCCTACGAGCATCAGATAATTTCCAGATTTGAGGACTCGATTCTGAAGAACTTCATAACTCTGTTCGAAAATAAAGAAACTCTTGAAAAAGATATCCAAATTTTGAGAAAGGAAATTGAGAATCAGAATACAAAAATTGAAGCACTTAGAGAAGCCGAAGAGTCTCTTGGAAGAGTCAACTCTTTTGTAGAAGAAATCTCATGAAACTTACTTGCTAAGAAATTCAATCCAAAAATAGATCGGCAAGTCATTACTTGGGTAAAGAAGGCATTTGGTGACAATATTTTCCAGAGGGATAATAGTAGACAGATGAAACAACCTAAGCGGAAGAGAAAGTCCAAGTCTAAAACGAGAGATGCTAAATCTAATAAACTTTATAATGAAATACTCGAAATAGTTTCGACAATTCTAGAGTCATCTCAAAACACAACTGTTGACAGTCATATTACAAAACTGGAGTACCTGAAGACTAGACTAACTGAAGAACTGAAAGAAAACATGAACTCATCTGCCAAAGCTAACAATGAAGAATCATTTTTCTCCGAAATTTCACGGTCAACTTGCACAGCACAGAACAAACCATTCAAAGTCATAGAAGAAGGAGAAGAATTCAAGTAAGCTTTCTCTCCCTAATCTTCAGTGAAAAACAAATGCAGACTTATTACGACAACTTATCTGCCAATAGTGAAACAATGTATCCCTCCTATTCACCTCTAGTACCTCCGAATTCAACTTCGAAAAACGATTTGACCTGCTCTTCGGCAAACTGACGCGAACAAAGGTATTCACCTCCTCTAATTCCTGTAGATTCAAAGAGAAGTCCTGGATTCTGACCTGCTATCGATGCTACAGGTTCAGGCTAAAGCACTTGAGTCTCTCAAAATTAATAAGAAGGAACCGAAAATAGAAGTGAAAGGTCTTGTTAGGATGAAATCTCCAATTGGAAGAATGAAGATGAATGGAGGCTATAAGATGAAAATACCTAGAAGAAGAACAAGCAAGGATGAAAGTGAGAAAGCAAAGGATAACTTTTATAATGATTTATCAGCGAGTTCAGATCCTGAACCTGCTGAGCTAGTGCCAATGCCTTCAGCAGGACCAGAGCAACCTAAGTATGAGGCTAAAGAATAGATCATGCGAAATTTTATAAATATTCAATGGTTTTAAGAATTTAAGGGGTTTTGGGGTTTTGGGGTTTTGGGGTTTTGGGG